GAATGGGCGCGACTGTCTAGAGGTCTGATGGTGTAAGTGTTCATTCAACAGGCTTATTTGTTCAAAGGTCTGTGTCTCGGGCTCCCCGCAGGAGCAGTTCGTGTGATGTGGGTAGCGACAGGATATATGCAAAACCCCAGCTCTGCGTGCTCTTCTGTGCCTGATCGCTGCCGCTCTAGGCTGTATACAAATTCAGTGGTAATCACTCAGCTCCTCAAAGACAGTAGCCTGCAAGAGCTGTGAAGGCCCATACTTAATAACGTTTTATTGTGTTAACATCACCGTTTTCAAAATAATAAAAATTAATGTTTCCAATTTTGTCTCCTTATTTCCTTGTCAGCATCACCCTTCTGTGGCAAGAGGCACCTGAAAGGAAAACTTCCGCATATCAATGCACTGCCAATGGTAAGTACCTTTTTGACTGACTAAAGGCGGTGTGGTTCCTTCCTGCAGATATACTGTAAGCCATCTTGTATTGCAAATAGTATTTTTAGAATAACTACGTTTTAGTACACAAGTGGATTATTTTAATTTTTTAAGAAATGTCTAGACCATTATTCTGTTTGATAAAAATATTAAAATTGTATCTGGATTTTATCCCGGGAAAGTAGGGCAGGATGTTAATTTTGAAGCGAGAAGTGTGACTTGACAATAACACAGCTCATCCTGTTGGTAATGGGTTTTGCTTCCTCTTTCGGCCAAAAGCGTCTTCGGGGTAAGCTGTAGCAGGGCTGAGTGCTCTATTGCCCCGACTTGGGTGCTCTCTGCAGTTTGTTTCAGTACTAACGGCTTCTTCTATTTAAGGGGAAAAAAAAAAAAAAATCTACGCAGTGTCAGGCGTATTTTGCTTCAGCATATTTGACAGCATAAGACTAGTGAAGTTAAAATCTTAGGTCCTATAGAAAGGGGCTTGGTTGATGCGATCTTCTTACTCCATCTCTGGAATATTACTCAATGTTACAGGCTATTGGAAGTTCGTATTTGCAGACTGTCTTTATGGTTTACTTATGCTTTCTGATAGTTGTGCAGATGGAAGGCCGAGGTTAGGTCTGACGAGAAGGATTGGAACTTACTGCTCCCGCTTTGATCAAATAAGCAGTTTTGGTATCTTGTGTTGTCATAGTTGAGGTGTGCTACAAGAATGGTAATTGCAGCATTAGCCTTAAGAAATAAATGCATAAAGTGCCAGCCTGGGTTTTGTATTTCAAGCATCTCTACATCATTGTGCTCAGTAGAGAAGTTAAAGGGATGGTATTTCTAACCACTAGGTTTGAAAACTCAATTTGGGATCTGAGAGCTGAGCTGGGTTCCTTTGGTTTGTGTGTGGGCATGGATCTAAAGAATATGTAAATAAATTATAGCTTCACTTATACCTTTGCAACTCCACTGTCTTTGCCCTGTGAGCAAAATGTCACTCCAAGAGAGTTTGCTGGGATGTAACTGCTTTATTTTGAAAGTAGTAAGTAATTCTGTTGACTCTCGAAGACATCATGGAGTGAAATGTAATGCAGCATATATTTGGCACTAAGTAAAGCAAATATCACTTTGAAATCAGAAGATCTGCACCAAGTGTGTATGTCATTTAATAGCCTGATGTTTAGGCTCAGAGTTGGTATGTGTAAAGTTTATATTGATTTGGGATGAATTTCAGCTGGTGGGAACAGATTTGTTGAGTGAGAAGGCATCGTTTCTACCTGGTCACTTAGCCTAGTATTTTAACTTTCCAAAACTGAAACTAGCAGCGCTCTCAGCCTTTTTTATTATTGCTAAATTTTCATTGTTGTTGTTGACCTTTTTGCAACAAAAAGCTACTCTGATTTCTTTTCATTCTGTATTAGTTGAGCATGTTTTTAGGTATGATTTAAAATACAGGTCTGTATTACTGCTTCTCTTAAAAACATGACTCATTCCATATTAACCTAGTCCTTATACTTAATAAAATTTTAAAATACTGAGAGATATGTACTTGAAATGTTACTGCATTTTGTCCTAATTTTCCCCCTACAAATTATATTAGAAATTCAGAATTGCACAGTCTCAAGGGCATGCTAGTTGTTACAGTGATCATAAAACTTACTCAACTGTTACTTGCAGTGAAGTGAAATACTCTCCACTTTTTTCTTTAAGGACTGCTTTTGTGCTATAAGTTGTTATATTTTATTATTCTAGAGATTTCTAAACAATTACTCATCTCTTGATTAACTTTGAAACAGTTTGAATGTAGATTTAAGAGGCAAGCTGGACACATTCTTCATCATCCCAAAAGTAATCATAACTTAATCTGGTTTGTAGTAGAAAAGACTTTTATAGGTTTTTAATACGTTGTTTTTCTCTCTGATGTTTGTAGACAAAGTATGGGCCAGAGGTTGACCTGAAAAAAGCAGTTTGTATTCTTCTCTCAAACAGGACGTGGTTTAACTTGGCTACCCATGTTCAATACACATATTTGAATCAGAAATTAATTTCTGATTCCCTTGAGAAGTGATGCTAGCATTTTTGATCAGTTTTTCAATCATGATTGTCAGTTCCATTTCTTAGTACTAAGAAAAAAAACCACAGAAGTTACACATCCTCTTTTGTTTTTTCTTTGCTTTCTACTTTAAAGGTAATGAAAAGATGCTTATTTTTTGCATCATATATGATATGTTAACTGATAACTAAATAGGGTAAAATATCAGTTAGTCCTTAAAAACATGTTATAATTGTTGGTGATTTTTTTTTTAAATAAAATATTTATATGGTGATATAGCCTGCTAAAAGAGAGTATGGCTGTGTTCAGTTGGTGTAAGTTCTCCTTCCCATTCTTCCAGTCAACTGTAATGTTCCTCAGAGTCTCAAAGGAAAGATGCAAAGGCTTAACAAAAAAGGCCTGTTAAGTGAAGGAAACTTAGTGTATAATGCTACTTTTTCTAGGATTTTGAAGTTTCATTTAGAGGCTGATAACTGGGTACTTAGTCCATGGTTACAAGGATTAACGAATATGTTGGAGATAAAAATCAGAAGTCCTGGACCTTTGGCCTAAGCAAAAGATCATGTCAGGTTTTCTGCAAACGCTTTAGCAAATTAGTTTTTTTGTTATGTGATGGAACAGGTAGCTTACCTGAGAGAGATTTTCCATTGTACCTTGCAAGGCTTCTCTTGCAAGTTTTAGAAGCAGAACAGTTTGCCTTTCTGTCTTCTACAAGTCATTGAAACAGGCCTGCATTTGTGTGTATGTGTATGCATAAATATGTGTGGCTATATATGGGTGTGCTTGTGTGTGCATGTATCTATATACATATACATGTATATCTACATATATAAAAAGGAGTGTGCAAAAACCAGGAACTTACAGAATGCTGGGAAGTGTCAGTTTGTGATTTATCATACAACAGCTTGCTGTGATGGATTTAATTTCGCAGGAAGTAACCAGAACGGGCTATGGAAGAATTGAGCAAGAAAGGCAACACGGTGGCCTTCTGAGAGGCATCCTGAAAAATGCTATGCCTGGGTTCTTGCCTCCATCTCTTACTGCATGGTTAGTTTGACAATGATCAACACACGGATCAGTTAAAGAGGTCTTCTGCAGAAGAGAATAGAGGATGTTATAATTTATTACAAGCTGACACAGGCAAAGTCTGAGGATAGGCAGTGAGCACGAAGTTACTTAGTCTTCAGGAAGGCGGAGTTGTCAACAGCTAAGTCATAGAATCATAGTCTCTTGAGGGGAATACAGAGTAGGTGTTTTAAATCCATTCTCTTCAATGCTACTTTTAGGTGAATATATCGTTTTGTGTTTTGAAGGTGTAACACACCCATTATGTGTTACGTCAACTGTTCTTAAATATAAGATACTTGTTATAGGAGAACAACTTTGCAGGCGCTAAGTCTCTTGGGCCAGGAAATTCCATGGGTGCAACACTTCAACGCGATTATCTGGGATTTAGCCCAGAAATTGCAGAAGTGGTTGGAGGAGCTGGGGAGGATGAAGAAGTCATTCCAAAGAAAAAGGGATTGGAAGATATCTGCAAAAACTTCTGCAAGCCTGCAGCAAAACTTTTTCTTCAAACCTTCTAGTGTCGTTCTGTGAGCTTACCACTCCTTAGAAGACAGCTGAAGGAATAAATGCATATAACTATTAGCCTATGGTTCCACAACAGCTAAACCCATCTAAATGCTGATCTATCTGCCAGGTTAATCTTCTGCCAGTCCATTATGTTAAAATGGTTTCACGCAGAGGAAGATGAGCAAGGGAGAGGGCAGGAGCCTGCACTCAGAACTGGAGGAGCTGGGTTTGGCATGGAAGCCTTGCCTCTTCCGGCACCTGCCAAGGACAGCAGGAGGTCCATGCCGCTTGGGCCAGGGTTTGCACTGGAATTGCAAAATTGACTTTGTTTCAACAGGAGCTGAATATCATCTCACAACTCTAAGTATATACGAAGGAGTATCTGTGGGTGGGCAGACCTTTGAAAGATGGTAAAGCTGAAGGTTGGTTTTCATTATACTGCGAACAGGGACCCCTGCTTTCAAGAGTTTATGAAACTTGACAGTACTTAAGATGTTGGCTGCAAGAGACATGAATAATTGTTTCAAAATAAATAACCCTGCAAGAGTAAAGCCCTTATTCTTCAGATACATATGCATGTGCGTACATGTAGCTTTAAGTGTAGGAATAGTTCTTTTGAGATACAAGCAAGGAGTACTTGCATGCATAAAGCTAACCAAGCTTGAAAGCGCTTTCAATGGTAGGGCCTAAAAGTGCTCATGAAATTTATTGTTGAGGCTGTTGGTTGTACAGTTTATGGAGTACAGCCTTAAAAGGACTAAAAAAAATTATTTCTAGCAGTTTCTGAAACAGTCTAAACTAAGTGACAGCATGAAATTTTGGACTGTTCTGCTCCTTCTGAAATCAGTGGATGCTATTATCAATGAAGGAAGCTGAAGTGCAATGTATTTTGACGATAATTGGTTACGGCCAAACAATTATATTTCAGAGTGTTCATCCATAAGTTCTATTCATTGGATCAGCATGAATTAGCTGATCTAGTGGTATATGTGTTGAAGAGGAAGTGCTAATAATGTGACATAGAAGAAAAATTGTGTCGTGTGGTAGGGTGAATACTGTGATAAGAATTAAAAATTTTATGTACTATTGCATTCTGATCCATTTTTGGAAGGGTTTTTTAATTTTCTATTTCTTTACAGAAAACAAGTTAAACACACTAGTAAGATCCCTTTCTGATTCAGAGGGGAAAACACCCCTTGCCTCCTTTTTCTACCATTAGTTAAAGTTCACTACTGAATGAATCAACTGAAAGGGAAACTACTGTCCTTAAAAATTTTAAGAAGTAGCATTTGTCAGAGAACTTTCTGCTGATTCTCTAAGCATTTTACAGTTCAGAAATAAGCTTTGACTAAGAATTCTC